ACAACCAGGGTGGGATTCAGATTGGCATTAAGACACTCGATATTGTGAGCTCTACAGGCTTCTCCGTGTATTACAGAAGAGCTCCGGTGACTGTAACAGGAGCGTCCACACGTACGTGACACTGAAATTCTGGTATCAGTCTCAGATCAGTTTCCTCCCTGCTCTTCATCATTCTCTAAAAAAGCCTGAACCTTGTATTCAACTTTGACCAAACCACAGACTTTAATCAGGGTTGTGTCCAGAGCCCGATGATTGGCTGGGAGGAACTTTTCCAGATCAGGTTGCCAGGGGTCTTCCAGTGGGGAGAGGAGGAGGACAAGGATGGTATGGTTCACATTCCCATGAAAACGGTTCAGAGGATAACCTATTGGATTATCTAGGAATTTCCAATTGAATTAATTAGGACCACAGAAATTGGTAATCTCTTGCTGTCCGGTGCTCCTCCTGTAAGAAAGTTTCATGCTCTGAGACCTAAAACCATCCGACCTCAGCTGATGTTTCTGTGCTTGTTATTCAGTTTGGGTTTCACCTGAATGGTCTGAAGTCTTACAATGGATAAGATCACACATCTAATGCATGTTTAAAACACAAGGTATTTGATTAGACACAATAATTATTGTGTTTGTACTCCCAACTTGGAGTACAAAACCATCAGGAGTAACATTGTTCCAATCTGACATACTCTTCAAAACTGAGGATTCATCCCTATGTGTAAGAATCCCATTTGAGCCCCAGAGCTTACACGGCATACAAAAATCTTATGCTTTCTTGCAAATTCGGGGTAAATTTCACCACAGGAGAAGTAAATTGTGCTTGGCAGCCAAGAAGCACCCCCGTCAGCCTGTGATCCATCATCGGGGCAGGGGGGAAGGGGCAGACGAGCTACTGAGTCTCTTTAAATATCAAAATGCTTTACTATTTGCATGATGTCCCTGGGCAGCTCAAGAGCTATCTTGCCGGTCACCTTACCCTACTGTCAATAATTGCCTTAACAAAGAAAAAAAAGAAGGTTTTGTAACACATTCCTGGAATATGCCAACAATGGTAGAAGCTCATTTCTCATTTTTTGCCAGGGTCAGCCCCTACTAAATGAACATCCTAATACTGTTCCTCACTTTCTGCCTTGTCAGCTACTTGACACAAAAGAGTTCACTGTCTTTGGAGTTCATGGGTGAAAATGTGGCCACCAATCTAGCTGCACATCACAATGACAGCTTTAAAAAAAAGACACAAAAAGTGTTTGCCACACATGACACATTTAAGTATATTTGTGTGATTAACAGAAAAAATCCTAACAGTGGAATTATGGGAAAGAAGAGGAATGTGGGAGACCCTACCCATTAGTGTATTCGTATAGTCAAATACATTCCTCAAGAAGTTCCTATGACAACATTCAGAGTTAAATACCAATCCCAGCTGCTTATACATAGTTTCCAAGTACACAAGACTGCAAAAGTAAATTTAAAAGTGCAATTTAATTAAACATTAAAACTTCAGTGCAAATGCACTGGTATACCTAAATAGGCCTTTCAAAAGGAGCGATAATAGCTATTTCAAAGAGTAAATTCATATCATTCAAGTGCCAAAATTCTAACAGTATTATGACCCACCTCCCTTCCTCATCTCCTCTGGGAAAAAAAGTGCATAAAGGTGTCAAAAGGTGTATAAAGCATAACAAATAGATGTAAAAAAACCTCTTAAATATAAACAACATTGCAAGGTCTCCATAATAAGCAGAGAACAAAACTATAGATAGTTCAGTAAACATAACTTTAATTACAAGCTCTTTCACCACAACATAGCAGAAAAGCTGGTCATCAAATTCAGTTTAATGAAGAAAGATGGTTCCCAGGGCAAAAAAAAAAAAAACATTCCTCCAAGAAAATGAAAACACAGCTGCACTTGAAAAATTTATAAGCCACAAAGGAAAAATCCTCCATAAAAGCCTGATAAGTGACTTCGTGGCAGCTTTTGGAGGGAGGGAGGAAGGGGGAAACTGCTCACATTCAGGTCAACAGAGCTTCAAGGTCATTTTCCTTTGGTTTGCACTGGTTGAAAAACTATGCAAAAGTAAATGGAAGGAGAAACAATGGTTAAATCTGTAATCAGGCACTGCAATATTATTGATCAAAGGACAGAAGGAAATTAAAACAGTGTAAAAATTAGTTTATTTGGACAAAGGAATTGCTGTGTAGGAGTCCTCAGAGATTCTGTTATTTCTCAGACTGCCAAAGCAATAGATTTGAATATTTCTAGGACTGGAAGGATCTCCGCACCTCAGCTAAAATTGTTTTGATCAGGCAGCTTTCGATAGGGCAAATTTTAATGGGCTGTCATTGCATGGGTTTCCTTTGATACACCTCCTTGGTAATAAGAAATAAAAGCCAAGTTAGTTTATCCAAGGACCATTAACAGGTGAGCTAGCCTTTGGTTTGACAAATCTTTTCTTTGCAATGGAAAGATTTCTGACAAGAGAATTCTCCCCATCTTCCATTTTTCTCTCAAATCTCATTCCTTTTGCTTGTCTTATCTCATTTCTAAGACTCTGCAACGTCATCCTACTCTTGTAGCACTTCCTGTGATCAGCTAAAGCCAAAATAATTTCCTAAGTGTGCCTAAGTAAGGTATTGCCTCTCAGATAGGCTGGTGAAAGTAATCAGAGCGTTCAGGAATAGTTTAATAATTTACATGTTGTAAATATGACTAACCAGCAGTTAAATCGCAAGCTTCAAGAGGCTTAAGTTATATTTTCCTGTTTTTTGATAATCTGTTAACTTTTTTTGGAACATTCAGCTACAGAAGAAAACAAAGACAAGACTTAAAAAGCCCTCGACCAAAGACCAGCTTCCTTATGCCCAGCTCTGGCCACACACTGAAATATTACTCCCTTCCATCTCCAGCTTGCGCTTCCGAAGCTCATGCAGTGCAATAAGCTGCAGAAGGAGATGCCCATACGTCCTCGAGTTGGCCAGACTTGGCCTCTGGGTGGCCAGACTTGGCGATTTGTGCTGTGAGGCCTCCCAGGATAACCAGGCATGACTTGCAACGTGCACTCGAGGCTCTGACTGTTCACATCAGCATCTGGACACAAATTCGCCAGCAAGCCAAGCCGTGGTCAACCCTAATCTATCTCAGGCAGCTGTTACGTCTGGCCATCATGAACAGTTCACAAATACATTCCAGGCAGGACATGAAACTCAGTGGACTGCTTTTTGGACAAAATACAAGAGAAAGCCCTACTAAAAAGAATAAGCAACTGAACAGAAGGAACTTGCAGGCTGCGCGAGACCGATTGCCTTTGGCCCTGGACAACAGAAATACTTGAGCACACTGAAGCTCAAAGATGGTGAGCAAAGGATACAGTCACTGAAGCCACCACAAACTTCGAAACTGTGCAAGAGAATGAGTTGCTGTGTACTGATAGCAACACTCTGCCTTCTCAGCTCATGAGGAAATTAGCAGCAGCAGCAAGAAGTGTCAAATAAGCAGCCAGAGGAAATAAGTATGAGGGAAGAAAGGCTGCTCGACCACCTTAGCAGGCAGACATGCAACTGAGACCTGTTTCACTGCTTTAGAGCTGTGAAGTTCCTATATTTCTGTCCTCTGCGTCACTTTGTTTTCTTAATATCACCAGAAGGTGATTTTAGTCCAATTATATTATTTTACAATCGTTTTCCCAGTCTTTATGGTGGAGGAAACTGTGCAGCAAACCATTCTTCCCTGGTAAACTCTAGATTTCATCAGCCAGTGAAGATACACAAGCCTTCACTCAACCATGTTTGGACCCAAAGCACTTTGAGATTATTAGACGAATAGCAAAAAACTTTAAAAGCATTCATTTAAAATAATAAGTGGAAAAACGTATATCTTAGATACATAGGAAGTAGCAGCATACTTCTGCACCTGATCAGACTATTTTTGTGCTCTTTGGCAAGGGATGTCCTTTATAACATCCTTCCACCTCTTTGTCTATGGTCTTACTATCTATCTTCCCCATAACAGCAGGAGTGAACGGCGCTGTGATGTAGTTTAATAAACCAACATGGATGATTTTGGAGGTTACACATACTGATTGCAGAATGAAAGCTCCTGATGCAAGGCTACACAAATTATGCAAGCTCCTGATGCAAGGCTATGCAAATTACAAAATACCCTAAATATTCAAAAGGTAAAGAAGAACACTGCACATGAGTCAGTCTAAGCCTTTCTTTAGCAACAGAGGCGAGCAGAAACAATGTCAACAAAATGCTAGGTAAAAATCTGAAGCCAACTGGGCTCTCATGCATTTCTTTCAAGTAGCTCACAAACTATTAAATGCATAACCACCTTTTAAAGCACACCAGTTTCTTTATTTTGGCACTTGGAATACATATGTTTCTTTATTTTGGCATATGGAAGGAATGAGGTAAGGGTGACTGATGAAGTCTCTCAGCAACTTCAGATTCTGACCAGTGTTGATAGCACTGCAAACCACAACATCTGCAACATGAGCTGTGTCACTGTGCGTAGAAGCTATTTGACGCAACATATCTCCATTCTCACAGAAGGATGACATTTTTGCAACACCAGGAAAAATATTCTCTTCAAAAATATTCTTATTCCCTTTTAAAAACACCCTTGAATGCTATCCTAATAGCATACATATACATCTTCACCCAAGACTGTGCTAATAACTAACAGTTGTATTTATGGGGGAAATATTAAACCCATAGGTTGAACATTTCTTTCCTTAAGTACTTTTTAACTGAACTGCTGAAAAAATCTCCTTATGTGATCATCCCTAATAGAAATGGTGCAGGACCTCCCAGCATAATCATGCTCCCACTGAAATAACTTAAGTGTCTGTCTTTGATCTAATGCACATAGAAAAGCAAAGCATCTTGCTACATCAAGAGATAGAAACTGCATTAGTATAAGCAAACAAAAAATATGTTCTTGCCTTTGTCTACAGACTGCAAATAACTATCATGATACGTAGGGGAATGAGAACATTGTATTACCTTTACTATTAATCCCTTTGAGTCAACCATCCATATCCTTTTGACAGCCACATCTTTAGATACCCCTTCTTTTTCCATAGCCATAACAATGAGGTTTGCTATCCCCAGTGCAGCCTGAAGAAAAAAAAAAAGAGAGGAAAATTAGTCTACAAAACTAAAAATGAAAGTAATCTCGTCGTCACTTAATTCCTTTACCCATTATTTTAAGTAAGCTTCTTAACTTTATTTAACAATAAAACGAGATAATTATTTTTTCATAAAGTAAACACTAATGAACAAGAACTACCATTTAGTAGTTAGAAGCCAGAGTTAAAGGTATAATACATGCTAAGATGGTATTTGCAATATGAACAGCATAAGACACAAACTCTAATATAAATTGTTAAAACTAACACTTATTCCACGCAATCATCTGAGAATACTCTAAGTATTTTTCTTCTTTGAAATTTAATTTTATTCATTAGATTTTTTGGCAATTTAAACCACAGGAAACTGCACTCTGCATCCCAGAAAGTAAAATACAGTCCTAAAATAAGTTTTGCTCCCAATCTTTCTTTAAAATGTCCATCAAGAAGGCAAGTCTCCTTCCACCTACTATTCATACGTTTTGTAACTCCAGACTTGTCTTGGCTGTGCTCCCAGTGAAAGAAGGGGCAAGAAAAGATTCACTTACCAATATTTTGCTGAAACGTGTATAATTCCTACTAGATTCTATAATATGTCATCCAACAGATCGAGTGTCACATACGCATGGATTGAAAAACAGGCAACAGAATGAGCCAACAGAGCACTGAGTAATTTTGATTACTAACTCAGTATAAATACTTACGGGGTTGCTTCTGGTTCTTGTTATTCACTATTTAGTTTCCCCGAGAATCAAGCAAGATTCCCCTTTTCCTGCCTAACAGTTAAGAAATATGTAGTTTTATTCAGCGGAAGCTCCTATGTCAGGGATGATGTCTGCCATTCCCTCTTTGTGGTAACAAGCATATTGACAATATTACTGGAAAAAAATACATATTAGACCACGGATTCATTTCTGTTGAGCATGGAAAAAAAAAAAGGGAAAGGAACTTTAGAGAGATGGACTGTCTTGACGTGAAAAGCTTTGACATATGCCAGCCATGGATGCAGGTCTTTCTGCAAACTAGGGACCTGATCTCAGTAGCACCACGTGTCGGATCAAATTAAAAACATCAGGACTACGCACAGCTGGGGCAGCGTAGTGTACCCAGAAGAGGGTTTGCTGACCGTGAATAGTATTTTTCAGAAGCCAGCGTAGGGTAGCAGACCTCGTACAACAGATGAGAGTTAACCGCACTGTAGATAAGTATGATCTTCACTTGTAAGAAGCTTAGAAACAGTAACTCACAGCAACTTAGGAAAGCTTACCCTGCAAAAATAATATCAAAAATCATGTGCACAAAAAATCTTCAGAAATGGATAATCTTGACATGCAGAATACTGAAAAACTCTAGTAGTGATGGCAAAAATCAAAGGGGAATAGCGTCTTATTAAGTAACACTGACACTGGTAAACATATTTTATTTAATCTCTCTTTAGTGACCCGATATGTTTCCTCATCTTACCAAAAATTTTGGTTTGATTGTTTATATTGAGAGTAGCTTGATGATTTACATCTGAAAAGCTAAGACTTGAAGTTTTAAAAAGAGAACAGACCTCCTCAAAATGTGTTTTGAAAAATATGAGGCTTGAGCAGATGATCTAGAGATTTTTTTTTAAGTTTACATTTGAGAACATAAGAAGAGACTTTCAGCAGCTGTTAGTGATCACTCTACCCACTTAATCTTCTTGTGAACTGGATACATATAACTTGGTTAAATACTAACAAAAGTCTTCTTGGGAAAATTTTTCCTGAAGTATAAAACACGTACCTCTCCAGCTCCCTGGAATAACACTGTGTGATCTGATAACTTGTTCTTAGTGATACGCAAAGCTGCAAGAAGACCTGCAACAGCCACAGATGCAGTTCCTGAAATAAAAAATTAGTATCTTTGGTTAGTCTTGAAATAATTAAAAAGCATTAGGCCTACACTTTAAATAATTTCACAGCATCTTTCAGCTGAAAGATACAAATACTCGGGCTAATAAAAAAGCATTTGTTGCAATGACAGCTTGCTTTACTTTGTTTTTTATGAAAAAGAAATATAAGTGGGAATATCTTCAGAGTAACACTAAATAAGTATGACTGACTGATTAATTCTACTTAAAGGACATAATGGCTAGTGCAATCAAACTATGACAAAGTATTCTAGCTAAGATCTTTTGCAGAAGGAAAGGATGGGACTGCCCAGACAGAAGCATTTTGAAGGACTTCAGGTACTGAAAATTAAGAATGGTATTATTCCTCAAGTAGATATCTACAATGATCCTACTGAAGGTGACTGACACCTCTTGGAACTTCCCGAGACAGGAAAATCCTATAACAGCTATAAGATCACAACAAAATTTGGTGTCTCGTGTGGAGGCCGTAAACCTCTACAGAGGAGCCAAGGCAGCTGAAAGAGCAGGGCTGGCTTATTGAAGTCACAGATTGTCCTGCCACACCTGAAAATCACCCAGAACTCCAGTCCACTGCCAGGAGGTGGAGGCAGGGAACCAAAAACTCTAGGTAATCTAATGCCCTTTTATCAAAAATTATACTTCTTTCAGTACAGCTTTTGGTACAGCTTAAAAGCAATGCTTTTCAACGAATCCTGAGTAGACTGTGCACGGGAATGCTACCAATACAGTCCATACTTTACCCAGCCAATTAGACAAAAGTAATAGCCACCAATATAACTTCTTGGTTATGAAATATACGTGGAATATATATTTATGTGTATACATATAAAAATATATACTGGAATAGAATAACAGTTTCAAAGAGAGGATCCACCATTTCTAGGAACCCCACATGCAACCTCCATGTTAGAAAATTTATCTATCTTAGCTGTTAGAGCACAGAAGTCAGCCTTTAAGAAAGAAAACTGAAAACCTGCACATGAGGAAATGTGTGACTGATCCTCAGTGTGGATGCAAATCCAGGCATGGATGAAATGGGAGAAAGGAAAAGGCAAATTTGAACATATGAACTTGCTTTATTTTGGTTTCTTAGCATCTAAAACACTAGAAATACCGTTTAGATCTATCTTTGAGTTATCCCGCAGAGAAAAAAATGCTTATGTTTAGTTTTACGACTTGGCTTGTGGAGGTCCTTCTTCCCCAAATTAAGACCACAAAGAAGAGATACCCTTCTGTCTTTGAATGGAAAGAATTTGGCTCTAATCATGAAAAAGCTTAATAATAACAAGTAGGATAATAAACAGCCCTCAAGCAGTCATCTAACTCAAACTTGTGCATAAAAGTAGGATCATCCATACCTCTGTTATTTCTGACAGATCATTGTCTAACTTGTTCCTAATATCTTGCCTGGAGTACTCCCATGAGCACGCCTCCTCAGGCAACCTACTCCATTCCTTCAATTTCCTTTTTGTTGGAAATTTCTAATCTAAATTGTTTCTTTTTTTCTACTATGGCCTCTTGTCCTACCTATCCCGCAGTAACCTATTCTCTTCTCTTTGCAACAGACTTCTATTGTACTTGAAGACTGTTGGTGTCCCAACTCCCTCTTCTTAAGTGCAACAATCCCAACTCTTTGTGCCTTTGGAAGGTTATGTTTTCCTAAAGCGCTTATCACTCATTTCTCTCTTCTGGACTTCATCCGTTTGTTTCTTATCTTCCTTGAATTGCAGCACACCAATCCATACACAAAACTGCAATGGAATCCTTACCACTGCTGAATCTAGCTGTCACCTTCTGCCATGCTGAGGCAAGCTGCACTTAGTCACTAGTACCTGATAACTGCCTGTTCAAGTCTGAAGAGTCAACTATTCCCTATTCCTTCCTTCCTGACAAAGCCTACTGGGAGAGTGAAAATCTTTCTTCCTGGATACCAACTTCACCTAACAGGTTTACCTTTCTCACAAACTATCATTGTCACTAAAGCCCAAGCACAGCATGGACAAAAAAAAAAAAATTCCTTATTCCTGCAAGGAATTTCGAGCCATTAAGTACTGAAAAAATACCCCAGAAAGAGCATTAGCTGATGCAAGTTTGCAGAGCCTATAAAGGCATCAAATATTTTGCTGAACGTGTCTTTTTAGAGAAGATTCTGAAAAACTGGTAGCAGACAGCGTTATTTCATCAGTAGTGAAGAAGAGGTATCAGTCACCGGTGATAAAGACTGAAAGGGGAAAAGTGGGTTTTAACAGTCCTTTAAGATTTATGATGCCCACCTGATTTAGAGAGAGCTGACCTGCAGGGTGCTGAACAAGGGCCCTGAAGTTTCCCTATTGTACAGTGCTGGGAATGAGAACGGAATTCTCCCCTCCTTAGTCAGTGAGTGGCATTGTCTGACCCAAGGAAACTGAAGGTGAGGCTATAAATGACTTTGAGAAAGCAGAGATAGCTTACAGGGAGGAGACTGCTGGTTCCTTGGACTCTGCTTCTGATGGCCACAGTGCTAACCGAAATTGTCTACAAGCCAACTGGTTGCTTTTGAGGTGAAAAACCATACCGTTACTGATTTTTCTCTTCAGAAAAAGTATGAAACAGATAACCCTGAATGAGGCACATTTGCTATTTACAGGCCTGCTTTTCCACAAGCAAAACAAATTTTCAAACTCAGATAGCAGTAACCTCTACATTACAGTCAAGGAGATGTTCAAAACATACATTTACACTGCAGGCACACAGAGTACCTAAGTTTCAAATACATACAGCTAAGAAACTAAAAGAATACAAGTAGTAAGAAACCCACACCGGTTTGAACCCAGATTCTCTTTCTACTCTTGACACATAGGAATACACAAAGTAGAAGTACACTCTTAATATACTGATACCACTGATTAAAGTCGTTCCTGAGGATGCTGAGGTCCTGAGGATCAGATGCTCACCTATTAGGGATCCACACAGACAGAGAAAAATATGAACACTAGAGTCACCAGAACCCTTTAGAAGATCACAGAATCACAGAATGGTTGGAGGTACCTCTGGAGCTCATCTAGTCCAACCCCCCTGCTCAAGCAGGGCCCTCCAGAGCACCATTGTGCAGGCTCACATCCAGGTGAGTTTTCAATATCTCCAGGGAAGGAGACTCCACAACCTCTCTGCGCAACCTGTTCCAGTGCTCTGCCACCCTCACAGGAAAGAAGGTTTTCCTCAGGTTCAGATGGAACTTCCTGTGGTTCAGTTTCTGCCCATTGCCTCTTGTCCTGTCGCTGGGCACCACGGAGAAGAGACTGGCCCCATCCTCTCGACACTCCCCCTTCAGATATTTACACACATTGATGAGATCCCCTCTCAGTCTTCTCTTCTGCAGGCTGAACAGGCCCAGCTCTCTCAGCCTTTCTTCAGAGGAGAGATGCTCCAGTCCCCTCATCCTCTTTGTAGCCCTCCACTAGACTCTCTCCAGTAGCGCCATGTCTCTCTTGTACTGGGGAGCCCAGAACTGGACCCAGTACTCCAGGTGAGGCCTCCCCAGGGCTGAGCAGAGGGGCAGGATCACCTCCCTCCACCTGCTGGCAACACTCTGCCTCATGCACCCCAGGATCCCATTGGCCTTCTTGGCCACAAGGGCACACTGCTGCCTCATGCTTAACTTGTTGTCCACCAGCACTCCCAGGTCCTTCTCGGCAGAGCTGCTCTCCAACAGGTCAACCCCC